CGGGTCCGGGCTGGGGATTCGAACCCGCCACCTTAGGTGTACGTGGCTGGCACCTTAGCCGGTTGAGCTATAGGCACTGAGCCTAATTTCTCTATTTTTAGTAGAGATGGGATTCATTCTTGCTCAGGCTGATCTCTACCTCCTGGGCTCAAGCAATACACCCACTTCAGTCTCCCAAAGTGCTTAGGATTACAGGTGTAAGCCAATGTGATACTATTTTTAATCAGGCAGAAAGTATAGTGGGCACACACCATCTTAACATTACGTTTTATGCCTTAAATCAGGGGTCCTCAAACTATGGCCCGCCGAGGACATTTATCCAGCCCGCTGAGTGTTTTTGCCGCCACTGTCTGTCCTGCTTAGCAGCCAACTCATCAGGGACCCGCAGTCCAGCCCTCCAACGGTCTGAGGGACAGTGAACTGGCCCCCTGTTTAAAAAGTTTGAGGACACCTGCCTTAAATACTATATTTGAAAACCATTTCCCTGGATCTGGGGTGGGACACTCAGGACTGAAACAAGTTCATCGTAAGCGACATAGCTGAATCAGGATGAGTATGGTACTCTGGAAAGATTATCTGCAAACTTTGGTGTACCACACAGACATGACTTACTTGAGTGATTAATCTAGACCAAGCTAGAACTCAATAGCCAGAGTTCCTCTGGGGCTCTTTGAAATGCTATCCAAAAGGAGACCCTAGAACAGAACTCCAAATAATCACCTCCTAATACCTAAATCAAAGGGCTAATATACTAACTACACCCCCCACCCCCCAATTCCGGACCGTATTATTTCCTATACCTCATCTTCAATTTTATCTGCATCTGTTGTTGGGCGGTAAGCATCTTTATTGGGATGCAGAGCAGCCACAAATTCATAGTAATCAATGTAGCCATCTCCATCTCGGTCAAAAATGTCAGCCACAGCAGTCATCTCTAGCTTGGTGGTGGGGAACTCTGGAGAAAAGGAATCACATTTGAAACATTAACTCAGAGGCTTGCTTATTTGGTTGGTGGCTACATAAATATTTCATAAAAGGGGAAAAAATTTTAAGACTTGATTTCTCCTGAAAAGCAAACACATGTCTGCTTTAGAAAAGCCAGGAGATAAAATTATAAAGAAGACAAAAATCAGCCCAAAATATAGCCTCCTGATACTGCTCAATTACTTTTTTGGTGTTTTTGCTTACAGACCTCTCCACTCCTGTGCAATTTAAAAAAAAAAAA